CGCAAGCGAGAGCTAGCTGTGGTAAAGAAAGACCTCTGCAGCAATGGCTACCCCTCACAGCTCCTGAGCACTCAACAATTGCGGTCTTCAGTTGCTTGCCCTGAAGAAGTTTGTGAAGCTGACAGGCGAAAACGTGTTGCTGTACCCTACGCGCAAGGCGTCAGTGAGGCGCTTGCAAAAGTGTATGGCACACATGGTGTAAAAATCACACATGTGCTGACCACCAAGCTAAAGCAGAAACTCGCCTGCGTGAAAGACCGCCTGGAAAGCTCAAGATTTCCAAGGGGTTATCTACAAGATACCATGCAAAGATTGTGACGCATCCTACGTAGGTGAAACTAGAAATTTTAAAAGAAGAATCCAGCAGAACCAGAACCATGTCAAGAAAGGCAATGCAAGCTCGAACGTCTTGGCGGATCATCATTTGAGCAGTAACCACATCATCGGTTGAGATTCTGCGAGCATAATTGCAACAGAGAAGTGCCTATCGACACAGCTACTTTTAGAATCATCGCACATTCAAACGACGAAAAATGCAATTAACCGGACACAGGGTAACGTCCCAGAGATATATATGCGCCACCCATTCTATAGTCACGCCCTCTTGTATGCTCTTCATTGTGAACAAGGGACCTGTAGTGTCCTCGAAACATCAACATGTGTGTGTGTGTGTGTTTTTTTTTCGGACAAGGCGAGTGCCTCTTATTTTTTCCCAAGAACTTTAGAAACTTGTATGTACCAACTATGAAAGACCCCTTTTCAGTTTTTTTTTTATTCTAATGATTTTTTTGACAATAAAAGTGCAAATGGCTCACCTGAACAATTTATTTCGTGGCATCCCTCTGCCTCTACAAAAGACCCCAAGCACCCCCAGGCACAGTGCATGAGCTGAGCACGTAATTCGTCTTTGGATCATTCATGCAAGAAAAAAAACGCGTGTGCGGCCATGTGTCCACTTCTTATTCATGGCATTTGTGCTAGTGAAAAAAAAAGACGTATTTCAAGCATCAGGTTCTGTAATAATTGCAGAGATTTAACATTCCGAAAGCACAATACGATTATGAAGGATGAAGTAGATAATAGAGGGCTCCTGAAAATTCAACTAGCTTTAACGTGCAACTATATCTAGGTACACAGGCCTCAAGCATTTCTGCCTCCATTAAAACTGCGGCCATAATGGCCGAGATTCGATCTTGCTACCTTCGGCTTGGCAGATGAGCATTATAACTGCAAGACCACACGCACCAAGTGCTACCGCCACAATGAAGATGCTCTGCCAGTGCTGTCTTGAAACATTGTTCTGAGCGAAGGTTAAAACTTACAACAGAACACTATGCTTTTACGCATTCCTTGGACAATTCCCAAAGAATATATGGGGTTTTACGTCCCAAAATCACAATATGAGAGATGCCGTCATGAAGGACTAGAGAAATTTTTATCATCTGGAGTTCATTAACGTGCACTGAGATCGCATACTACATAAGTATCTACTACTTTTCCTTTACCGAAATGTGACCGCCACAGCCGGAATCGAACTCGTGACCTTCGCATCAGCAGCCGAGCACCTTAGCCACTGATCCACTGTAGCGCACCAATTTCCAAAGAAGACTTCACATCCATCTACTCCAGGGTCACCACCTTCACACAGTGCAATGGTTCCAATGTATTTTCACTATTTCTTTCATTTTTATTTTCTGTTTTGGCCGTGCAAAGTGCATCTACAGGCAACTGTTCTATCTTTAATGCATTATACTTGTTTTTTTATTGTTTATAATGAATATGTTTTAATGGTCAATGTTCTAGAGTAATACAGCCGGCCTCAACGAAAGACTATACTTGTGTGGCTTGAGGCATGCTACAAAAATCTATTGCATTGTGCATTCTTTTTATTATTTAACTGTGCATAATACGAGTATTTATCAGGCACTTGTTCATCATCTATACATGATTATCATCACTTGTTGGGACACATCTTGGGATAGTTCTGTGTCTCAAACCTCATTGTTTCACTTCTATGTCACAATATTATTTTCTGTAAGGGTGATGAAGTTTTAGAGTAATCATGCCAGCCTTTAGAAGCACAAGCCAAGGTGAATGTGCACCTAAGAGTTCCATTCAAAAAGTCTCAACAAAGTAGTTATCAGATGAGTAGACTATATAACCTTAATGATGACTGGCTGGTGACAGTCACTATAGCAGAGTTGACATTTTTTGAACTTGCAGGTAGTTACCCAGTACTTACCTATTAAATATATTAAGATATTAAAGCAGCTCACAAGAGAACGCGATGTATAAAAGGAATGAGGTACACTCACATTTTCTTCACTGCATATTGTCACTGCTTTTTGAAAGAACAACCATGTTGATCTAGCGTGAACAGCTCTAGATTGCAATGTCCTTTCTATTCAGTTTTACTTGCAAATACCACAATCTGATTATGAGGGATGTCCTAGCGGGGGCCTCCAGATTCACCCAAGAATTTTTAACGTGCAGTGTAATGCAAAAAAACTGGTAATTTTGGATTTTTATTTTGACTGTACCACGGCTGCCACTGCGATTTTATTCTGCAGCCTCGACATGAGCATCGAGAAGAACCGACACTAGAATCCTGCTCACGAATTCATCTTTATTAGACCTCTCAAGAATGACAACTTGATGGGTGAAAGTTCAAAATGATTTGTGAGTGCTTTCCGTGCCCTTTTATTTTGTTGCGCAGTGGAATAAGTCTTGACGTAAATGTACTTGCACATAGATACATCCTGTGCGCAAATATCTTGCCCTTGAAATATGTTTATGACGTATGAAATTATTGTATTGTTTTTGTGTGTAAGAAAATGTAACAAATGTTTGACTGCCCCCCCCCCCAAAAATCTTCACAGATTACTGCAGTGAACGTACTTGTCCTCTCAATTCTTTTGATTAAAATTCACTTGCGAAAAAATCAGTGCATGCACACAATTATTTCTAAGAAAACAGGCCTATTATATAGTTCCATCAAGATGTGCTACATCATGTGTAAGATGTCATGAATAAATCCATGATGAACTATGAACTGAGAATTTCATAAGCAGTTTTGCCATAGTTTCTTTTTTAATCTTTCTTTCACAATGTGTCTGGCATAGCATAGCCTTAGTTAATTTTGCACCACAAAACCAGCATTGTACAAGAAATATAGAGCAAAACAAAATACAAATGAGCACTCAAGTGGCGGCCAAAATAAATTCATTACATGAAAGGTTACCTGCAAGAATCTGTGCAATATATTCGTTAAATAGCTTGTCAAAGGCAAGATAATGTCGCTATGCTTGGCTTGACAGTAAGGATACAAATTATTTTCCAGTCTGTTTTTAAAAAAGCACTAATGCAAGACAAAAATCAGCTTAGATTCATAAATCGTGCTCTAAAAACTTTACTATCACTAATTTCACAGCTATAAGCCCATTAACAGAAGAGAAAATCAAGGAGAGTTTCATTTTTAAATGTTGTGCGAAAATCCCCGCATGTGATGTCATGAATTTCGAAATGTTTTTGTATTTTGGCCAGAATTGTTCATTAAAATTTATCAAAATTGGGTGTGCTAAATGCCTGGCCCCAACAGAGGACAATGTACTTCATATTTACCAATTAAGAACTACAAAGGCTCTAGTAGGCGACATCAAAATATATGACATCGTGGCACAGGTACTTGAAAGTGGCATTGCCACCCACACTTTTTGTGTGGATTTTCTAGCGTACCAAGAGTCTTCTTCTGGCAAGCTTGGCGATTTATTTATTGTGACAGAGTAATTTACTAATGTGAGGAAAATTGTTTCTCACAGTGTCCCTTACATAGGCTCCAGAGAATTTCATCAAGGATTTGCCTTAAGTTTTCACAATAGCAGTTTCGGCTCATTCAAATATGTCTCCGCTTAGCATATTTTGAGAACACTTAGTGCTATTAGCGTTATTTTTTATTGAATGGACAATCTATATTTGCAAAAATGGCCTTGAGCAATGTTATAGAACAGTTCTAGGAGTACAGGACATATTTGATACAAATCTTAAAAAAAAAAAAAAAGCAGAAGACTGGACAGCATCACAATGGTCATACATACCAGGTAGGTTCAGCCTTCACTAGCAACAGGCAATTTTTTCGTGCGTTTTATGGCACCATGTAGGCCCCATAGCTCCCATGTATATTTAAGGCTTTTTTAGGACCTACTTTCTCAGTAACTACTAGAAAGAGTTAGGGTTTGTTACATTTTATTCCACGGTGTCTTCTTGCAATTAAACTACAATTATGACTGTATTTGAACACTTGACATCTTTTCAATTTTTAATTTTTAGCAAAACGAGTAGTTTTTCTCATTATTTTTAAAAATAAAACTGCCAGAAAAAGTAGAACCATATGTGCATCATTCTAGTTCAATAGCTTCGTATTCATGTTTTATTTATTCTTGTTAAAAAGCAGCTTTCCGCCTTCAAAACTTGTTTTAATAAAAGCACATATGTAACAAAAAGTGGATTGAGGTATATCGTAAGTTGAAGCTGAAAAACAAGTTTATTTTATGTATTGCTCAAAACGAAGATGTATTGCTCAAAACGAATTTAATTAATGGAAAAGTATGATATTGTCATCACACAAATCAGCTTTTCACTTTTTCTGTTCTCTTACTTTACTGGCTCGTTTTGTCATATCTTGTGTGTCTCTGTTGGCCAAATGCTGCCACTCTCGCCCAATCATAGCGCAGCATTGACCCTCAGTGACATGCCTAACAGCATCGAGAAAGTGCACTCAAGCCATGGATGCCTTTTTAAAAATTAGAACGACTTCAAAGGTGGCAGTTCTGAGGGTTTCCATTCCAAGGAACATTATCCATTGTGTTCTTTAGAAGTCCCACACTTCCTCCACATACTGTGCAGACACAATTTCCAATAATCATGGTTTGTAGAAGATCCACATAAATGTAAGCATTTAAATGTCACTACAGGTAACATTTTGTCCTTGCAACAACACAGAATGAGGGATGACAAACTTTATTTGCTGAAGTACTTACACAAGTGCTCCCTGTCTCATATCTGTTAGTAGCTGAAGCGTATCGATTTCTGATCATACTGCACTTTCTAAACAATTTTATTGATTTAGGAACAAAAAAAATACTACCACAACCAATTCAAGAAAGGCGCAACTAAACTAAAAATAAATGCACAAAACCCTGTCCCCATGTCCGTCTCGCACACACAAAGCAAGTGAACTCTGTAAAGGCCACACATGTTAAAAAAGACTCCACCTTGTGCCTTCAGGTAGTCAGAATACTTTCATATAAACCTGCTAAGCTCAGATAAACTACCGATTTCGATTTTCAAGTGTTTACGTGAGGCAGAAAGCTCTGGTTGTGCATGGTCTGAGATAAGGGGGCTTGGCTGTCCGTCAGTTGGTCTCGAAAGCCTGATCCTTATGGCTGAATCAAACTGCACAAAATAAGTGGGGCACTGAATATTGTTAGAGAATATCTTATTCCAAACAAAAAAAAAACAAATTTCAATTTTTAACACTTCTACTCTACTGTGTCCTTAAATTATTGATCTATGATACTATAATTACCAAATAAAACTGAGAACTTCACTTATCTTGCATACCATGACATTACTGTAAGCACTCTTTTACTCAATAAAGTTGCTGGTTACAAAGAAAAGCACAGGACTGTTTAGTTTAGGCAGTGCGCCTAGGGCTAACAGCACTGCTATGCTTGGCACTGTTGATGACGACAACATTCTGAAGACGTACGTGTTCACCTAAAATGCTAAAACAAATATCGGAGGTGGTTTAGGGGCCGTTGTATGATGAGCTACCATTATAACCATGATGATAGTTGTTATACAGGGATTGTTTTAAAAGTAATGTCAGTGATTATGTTGTAAAGTGTCTGTCTATACCTCACAACACACAGAACCTGTTGACATACATAACTGCAGTTTTACGTTCCTAAACCGTGATATGACCAAGATAGAAGCCGTAGAGGAGGGCTCCGGAAATTTCGGCCATCTCGGGTTCTTTAGCGTGCACCGACATCGCACAGTACAGAGACCTCTACCATTTTGCTGCCACCGAAACGCAACCACTGCGGCCAGGATTGAGCACGCAACCTTCGGGTCAGTAGTTAAGCATTATAAGCACTGCTCCACCACAGCAGTCTTGGTCACACTGTTGTCTGCTAGCATATAGAGAATGAGTGCAGACTTTTACCTGAAACGCTTTTTCATTTCCCAAGCAAACCACAATGAAGCACTCATTTGGAGAAAAGATGAGCATCAAAAATAGGTAATCCTTTCAGTGGAAAAAAGGATTGACAAAGTAGTGTAAAACTAGGCAAGTCGAAAGTGTAAACATGTCCAGCAATAAATACAGCATTTAGTGATAAATGTTAGAGCATCAAGTGCACCAGTGGCACAAGGCCTTTTTAGGAACACAAAAAGCTCAGCAATGAGCCCACGGTGGACAGCCATCAACAACCATCGGAAACAAAAACGTTCTGGCCCGCACCACTCATGTCGTCACCTGCTTCCCAATCGATTCAAAGGTGCCAAAGGTTCACAAGCCATTCGACAGTTCTGGCATGACTTCACCCTCTCTTCTATTTATTTCAACCTTGAAAACTCTAATGAAAGGGCATAATTTTGGGACAGTTGATAAAATCAAAGACTTGCACCAAGGCCCTTATGGACGTTCTGTAGGAGGCCTACCATGATGCCTTCGGTGCCTGGAAATCTCGCTGGAGCCCATGTATTGGCACAAGATGACCTTTTTGTTATATGATATGATGAACATATCTTTTTTAATCAACTCGTTGACATTACTTTTGAGACCTATCCTTAGAGCTAAGCCTCGAGTAGATACTGTTGAGCACCATGTAACTGGTTAAAATGCCACTTTATTCATTAGCCTCATCTGTGAAAATATATATTATCTTCATGTGTATATAACAGGAAGTTGAACCACTCTAACAGTAGTTTGATCACACTGCATTAAATTAATTACATTACAAAGCACTGCTAACATATATATATATATGCAAATTTCTTGACAGAGGGAAGGCTACAATCAATGGAAAAGAAGCCAGAGTGCTCTACTAATGGCGGTTGGCATGCAAACACGGACACAGTGAAAGAACTACCCTACACAAACACCACTTGTGACGTCTCATCCTTTTCTGCCCCCCACTTTCTTTTATGATAAATACCTACGAATTAACTCAACTTTCTTCCATTCTAAACAGGGGCATCTGCAGAACTTAATTAGGGTGGTGCATCCACAAGGGGAGGGGCATCCAGCACTGCAGCTTTTCTTTCACTGCAGACACATGATAGGCAAGATTAGTCGACAGTGCGAAATTGAATAGAAATCAAGAAGGCCAGGACCTGAGTGCACTAATAAAGCTGTGTAGTTTAGCTACTTTATGAAAAATATATATATAAAATTTCAGGAAGGCTGCATGCACCCTTCCACCTGGAACCTTTTTCTGGACGCCCATGATTCTAAGCAAGAGTGGCCTTGTTGGCTGGAGCCTAACACACATAAGCACTAGTTGGTCTGAGCTTTGAGGTTCATTTCACCACCTGTGCAATTCATACACTGCTCAACATGTGCACTTACCAGCACAATAAGCATCTGTATCTCAGATTGCAACAAAAACAGCAACAGGAGAATACATACACCTCAAGTTTGCAAAAATTAGCTGTTGCTGTATTCAGCACACATGACACTGCTGGCATGCATCAATAGAGAGACCAATAAAAATGCCTCAACCTAGCTGTTGCCAGTGCCCTGCCACGGTGGTCTAGTGGCTAAGGTATTCGGCTGCTGACCCGCAGGTTGCGGGATCAAATCCAGGCTGTGGCGGCTGCATTTCCGAGGGAGGCGGAAATGTTGTAGGCGCGTGTACTCAGATTTGGGTGCACGTTAAAGAACTCCAAGTGGTCGAAATTTCCGGAGCCCTCCACTACGGCGTCTCTCAATCATATCGTGGTAACGCCTAAAAAAACAGGCGTTGATCGTGGTTTTGGGACGTTAAACTTCAGAAATCAATCAGCGGCTAGTACTTTGCGGCCCCCGGTTAACTTTATCAGTAATGTGCAAGGTGTCACTAACCGATCTTTGTTAAGCTCTCTAATATACTCGAGAGAAGACCAACTTGACCTCATAACCCTCGGTCAACGCAAAATCCCATCATCTAAATCGTTACGCGACTAGCACGGCTGACATCTGCCGCTCGTACATGAAGACATATATGTTGAAACGTTTTCACGGCCACTAAAGTGTGGACCAGAAGAGCAGGCAATCGAGGAAGCTTACTGGTGCGACTGCAGAAAACCTATCCCAGGGCCGCGTCTGCTGCCCCCAGGTGAACGGAGCGTTTTGTTCTTGTTCACCTATTGATCGTGGAGTTTTGCCCGCCCCTCAAAACGCTCGTGTTCCTGGGGAGCCGATGACGAACCGGCCGCTCGCAGGCGCGTGCGACACGTGAAGCCTTGGTAGTCACAATCTTGCAACTCTGGTATCGTCCTCGCGGGACACCGCGCACGCCCACGTTTTTAAACATGTTCAGGCGCTACGCAAAGAACCAACAACTAGGGTAAGAATGCAAACGGTTGAGAAAAACTGCTCGATTAGGTACGTTTAAGTTTGGTTTTTGCATTTACAATCTGTATTTACGTAATGAAAAATTCTGTCCAAAGTGAGGTACATTGTGGGGAAATTAATATCTACATCGGCGCGAACAGCCAGCATAAATGTTGCTGAGCAGCGCAGCGTCACACTCGACATGAAAGTGTTTTTGGTATAAAATTTGATATGCATTTGATGACCAAAATAACAAAAGTTACAACAAGGTATTTATTCGCAATGTGTAATTATTTAAATAATTTGTGAAATACTTAGAGAGTTATGAGAAGGAACAGAAACCTGGCAACGATGTTAAACACTAAAATCTGCCAACATTAACTTTTTTGTTTTTATGTTTTTTTAAACAAAAAACGACGCTAAATTTAGGCAACAATGTTAAACACAAAAATCTGCTAACATTGAAATTTTATCCATCATTGTGTTTTGACGAAAAGTTTCGATTCGCTAATGTTAATAAAATACATAACTTTCAGTCACGAATTATGATGCGCGGTCTGAAACGCGTCAAATTTGCGTGGCATAATTTCAAGGCACTCAGTAATACATTTCAAGTAAGGAAATGTAGAAAAACGTTCTGTGTTATTTCTAGTAGTTAAATTAAATAAGTGTGTAACTAATTATCTATTTATTCTGCCACGACTCAGCTTTAGTACTTGCATAAAAAGAATTCATTACTTGGAAACAAGATTTTTTTGTTGGATTTGTTTCGAGCAAAGAAAAAAAAATCCTTTTCACGTTAGTCTTGAAATGCGTCACATCGAACAATCGTCGAACGTAGTAGTATGATCCCTAATGATAGTGTACTGGTAGGTGTTCTGTGGTAGTGTTTCCATCCAGAAAATCGAGCCACTGCAGCAATGTGCAGCATAATAAAATTAAATAATCACCAGCTGTCCACTAACGAGGCCAACACATTTGGTGGAACACGCCGTAAAACGATGTATCTATAAACGTTGACGAGTGCGTGAAGCTACACACCGTGCCCGAATGGGTTAAAATTTTAAACTAATAATAACAAACACTAATAAATATTTGGTTGCTATTTTCTGCATTTGCATTAAAAAATAGGGGTTAGTATAGATTTTCGCTACTTCTGCAATGATTTCTGCCTCATGGCTATCAAGTAACGAGCAACTGTTTGAAATATTGCGATTATCACTCGAATGATTTGTTTTCGCTGACAGACACCGAGAAGCAGAAGTGGTTTTTACTTAATCATTGCGTGGCGCCGCAAATGTTCGTAACGAAGATTTGGTGTCGTTGCTTGCGAAGTTGCGAAAAATCGTGTGGAAGAACGTGTTGTGTTCGAAATGGAGATTTCCACTCATGGTAGGTACTACGCTTTTTTTTTTTTTTTGCTGTTCTGTGGGAATACTTGTACTAACCACATACGTTTGTTACAGAAACATGAGTAGATTTGATGCGTCGATTTTTGCATGATGTACAGTGGCAGGTCGCCGCAGTGCAGCAGGCGTTGCGACTTTTGCACAGTGATGTTCCGTACTACGCCGAAGAATTCCCATTCAGAGACATGAAAATTCCCATTTTGGGGAGTTTTCGCTGCAAACGTTGACAAAATCCCCAGCATATATTCCTTCACAAGACTACTAATTTCAGCCCCCATCCACGCACACACATACTATAATTACACGTGTCTGACGTACTGGCGACTTTTTAAATCCCGCACTACAAAAACATTACTTTATTAATTTATATACTGTTAGTACACTGCACATTGTTTGCTTCAAAGTCTAACACCAATAGCGAACTAGAAATCGCTCCACGTAAATATTAAAAACAAATATGAAGGGGTGATGCTTGCGTGGTGCATGCGCCAGAACCGATTAGAGCAGGTGAAGGCATACTGTGACCGCTAATTACCGGTCGTCATAAGAGAATTTAACAGAAATTTCCCACAATAGTACGAAGATTCTCTTTTTCTCTTTGGCTCAAAATGACAGGCGAAAATTCCCCATAAAAGAGAAAATGAATTCCCTGCACGGAACGTCACATATGACGGTCGTACGTGATCGGCCTGATCCCGATCAAATTTCACGAAGGCTGCAGAACGGAGCCAATCAAAATGTCGAGGAATTTGATTCTGATTGGACTCGATCGTCTTCAGTGGGTAATACTAGAATAATGCTTTCGAGGTCGGTTATAGTTAATAATTTATCGCAAAACATTGATATGTGGGGTTTAACTTCCCAAAACCACCATATGAATATGAGAGACGCCGTAGTGGAGGGCTCCGGAAATTTCGACCACCTTGGGTTCTGTAACGTGCACCCAAATCTGAGCACACGGGCCTACAGCATTTTCGCCTCCATCAAAAATGCAGCGCCGCCGCAGCCGGGATTTGATTCCGCGACCTACGGGTCTGCACCCGAGTACCTTAGCCACTAGACCAACGCGGCGTTGTTATCGTGAAGCAGTATGTTAATGAAAGAAAATGTCCTTTGTTGTAATGCATGTTCACAGACCAACTAGTACCGTGTTCTCCACGTACGTACGTACGTACGTTCGCCCCACATTCGCATCTTGATTCGTGCAATTTTAAACATTTTTTTTTTGAAGTCAGTTACTAGATGCATATTAGAAGGAACTGCATCCTAAGTTCTTATACACTTTCTGGACATTGACTTTTTAATAGCGATTTGACGTGTTATGAAATAACTTGCAAACTCTGGGGTATAGGAAAAAAGTACATGCTAAAACTATTTCTACTGTGTCCTTGTAAAGGACCTGAAACAAAAGACCCAATATCAGCGCAGCTAAGTGTTATGGAATTACTATAGCTGTTTACTTCAGACTATCACGACAGAACCACGAAAAAATATTATTATCTATTATTATTTTATTTGTTGCCAAATGCACATTTCACATGCACCACATACAGTAGTTCACTGATGTGCTTGTAAAAATAGAGATAACAGAAGTGCTGCCGCATATTTGAAAACATCTAAAGTATTTTTTAAAAAAGCAGAAACTATATCTGAGGCTTCTATACACGTTTTAATTCTCATACTTCTGCAGTTCAATGTTCTTGTTCACTTTTTCCAACCATTACTTTGTCAAGTCACAGTTAGATTCAGATAAACACGGTTTAGTGCAAGCGGTGTGCTTACTAGTAAGCCTTCCTTAGAAAAATGTTAGACTAAGTAGGTGTTAATGGCTAGGTATATGCCATTTCGTGTGATTAAATGCTGATGAATTGGCTGTATTTGTGGGCAGCTTGTCTTTCTTATTTGGATCCATTAGCATGAATGAATCCTCAGAAACAAGATAAAAACTGCACCATAATCAAGTGCACTTTGCTGCCATACAGGTGCAAAAATGTTGCAAATTTTCACTGCAATGGTTTTTCATAAGCTTAGACTAAACATTGCATTGCCATTTAAAAGCAATAATTTCAGTTTTGAAAGGAAGAAACCCAGTAGACAGTGTGTTCACCTTTGTAAAAATTAAAAATGACCAAGAGCCATCACCAACATAATGGCTGAGGATAGCAGCATCAGTCAAAAGCATTGCTGCATAACTGGGAATATTGCATGCTCAAGTTACTCGATAATGACAGTGATTTCAGCAAAGTTATGACAGGTAGAGAGGACGCATGTAGAGATAAACATTTTTTGAGAAAGTTGATCTGATTTTTTTTTCAGTACATGTGTGACAAGGATTCAGTGTTGCAATCCCCCGGCAAAAAGGAATTCTTTGGAATTTGGCCACAGTGGCTCCCCTAGATTTATAGGGTTCTGTGTGCTAAAAGCAACTAACAAGATTTTTTAGATAAGAAGGGAGTTCTGTTGGTGAACTTTCTTCCAAGTTCCAACAATCTGGTCGAACTATTGCTGTACTTTTTGTTGCTGATATCCCTTTCGTTAAGTGATGGAAGGGCCTGCATGGCACTTATAGAAGTTGACTATAGTACACTTCCTGCAGAGCCAGCCTTGTTGGACAAACACTAGGAAAAGGGCTATGCCAGATGAGACATCCTGACTGCAAGCAGCAAGTAGCTCTCTGCATTGGAACCGGGTCTGGATGAGCAACTTTGGTCAAACTGGGATTCAGACACTGGCAGCTGGCACACCACCAGGAAGAAAGTAGGCGAAGTACTCCTTTACTCCTTGCCTAGAAAACATCATGAGTAAGTACAAAGTAAAGAGAGTTATATTGTGGAAGGATAAGGCAACTTGTGTATTACTGGGGAAGTGCTGAGAGCTGTAGCAAGTCAGAATATTTAGTTGACCACTGCAAACATTAAGCAAATCTTAGGTGAAATATTGGGAGCGCAAACTAACGGGACACAGAGGAGGAGACAAATGCTCGTTTGTCTCCTCTTCTGTGTCCTGCTAGTTTGCGCTCCCAATATTTATATTTGAATATGTACCAACTAGCCCGCCTGTCAACCCTTCTGCAATTCTTAGGTGAATGGAAATTTCTGAACACATTCATAATTCTTAAATACTATTAGACAGAACAGAAAGGCTAGCTCTAAAAACATTGGAAATGCAGAATGGCACGAGTTTCAAAAAGGTGTAGGGCAGGGTTGTATTTTCTTGATATTTATTTAATTTGTGCACAGAGTTTTCTTTCTAGGATTCATACTGGTAAAAAGGGATGACAGATCCACAAAAGAAATACCATGAAGAATAGTTCTAGGAGGTGGAAGTACCATAAGTAGTATTACAAGAGAGCGAACTTTAAGAAAATGATGAGTTAACATGTTTGCCTAAAATGCATCTGGTCGGCAGTTTGATTTTACCTATAACAAAGGTGCAACAGCTGAACTGGAATGAGAAGGAATTTTCGGAGCAGAGAAATGTTACTATTGGAGCACCAAGATCCAAATATGGAGCAGGTTAGTAGG